GTAGTGTCGAATTTTTGGAGCTTTGCTGCCAATGGTGTTGGTGAGGGCTTCATTCGACTGACTTGAACCAAGAGGGGCAAGCTTCTCCGAATTCGGGACAAAGATGTCCACAACAGCATTAAGATCTTCCTCTAGTTTCTCACCTTTTAAATCTTTGCCACGTGGGAGGCTCTTGTGTTTGTAGGTTGTGGGGCTCTTCAGAAACCCACACCAAGAACTGTCACATTTATTATGTTTGCCAAATGCATGAGGAACAATGGCTTTCAGATTTTTCTCCAGACCGTCAACATTGTCTTTGTTTTGGCTTAGCGCATACCCAAAACATTCCAAGAAGTGGTTAATTACTTTAGTACTAAGGATTCCTTTATGCTGTGGTTGCAGGCTGTAGAGATGGGATCCAAATGACCGTTTTGCATGAGTAATATCTGACCATTTGTCAACTTCACACAAAGACTTGGTTGGCAAAGTTGTCGTGAGGGGACCCTTTCAAGTGGTACGACTCGTTCGAGTCGTGCAAATCACATCTGCTAGAGAGAGGTTACACGGGATCTCACACGTACGACCCTCTCATAAATAAATTTTGAGACAGAAAACTAGCCCTTCGACATAAAAGAGAAATCTACGAATCTTGCCTTTTGTGAGTCACACAATACACTAAGTGCCTAACCTAAAGCAAAGTCGCGTGAGAAACTAGCATTGAATATAACAACAACGATTACTTAGCGAGTTTGCCCTCATATCGTACAAAGGAGAACAGTTGCTCAAAGACATACCGGCATGGGAGCCAAACTATGAAAAGGCTAAAACACACGCCGGGCACGGGGAGTCATGCAGGCCAGTCAACCCCCTTTTACACCTGTTACACGGTATTGTACGCATTAGTATTTACGCAATCATTTTAACGCGTCGGCGGCCTCAGCATGGTTAGGTGCGCGATTCAATTTAATGAAGTGAGTTGCACTGGATTATGGAACGGGGACCACCAACCCATGTGATCCTTGTTAACTTTGTCCTAGCATTACGGGAGAAATTATATATGTAGTTTCTGAATCGCGTAAGGGTGGCTCCCCGGTTAGCCTGGGCTCGTACGGGACTAGTGTAGATGGAAACTTTGTGCGCGATCTATTTTGATTGAAAGGGGCCAGGATAACCTCTGACGAACCCAATGCAGATCTGCACTACAATAATCACACAAAGAGGGCAGAGTCTGCTTGACACCAGGGAACAAGTGATCTTTCTAGCAATAGTGTAATATTACAGGTACATCTGATGTTACAACCAAATGTAAGCCCTTTAGGAAGCAAACGGTGTCGGTTGTCTGAGTCGACCCCAAACTCCTACCGCACCACCAGCAAATAAGCTGAGAGTGCCCGGAAAGGGTCGATACCTTCTGTGACGAGAAATGAACCTGAGTTGACGAGTAATAACTATTCACGAATGCAAACCCGTAAAACCCGAAAGGATGGCTCTCGTAACTGTTTGTTGTCATCTATATGACTGATTAATGAGGGCTTGGGTGAGGGTTACAGCGGTCTTAACGCGTCTACTTTGCCCTCCCAGTTTCCAAAAAATTGAGTAAGCCAGCTTGGGCTCTTAAATCGCTTGGCGAAGGAAGAGGATATGGCTCCCTTCCTATAAAACGATGTGATTTCAGCAAAATCTGCAGTCTTTCGTGAAAAGGGGGTTGTCAACTGAACAAAACAAAACGTCCACACAATGCATATTAAAGATTATGACTCTTCCTGAAGCACAGTCAAAACGATTGAAAATGCTAACTTTCGTGTATTATTACGCCACTTAAAAAGACCAAATATTGAAGGCTAGAAATAAAAAAGCGAGGTTAAAAGCTGTCCCATACTGCTCACGACCCGTGTATAGCCGACTTAGAGATCTAGTAACACCTGACGTTCCCTTCAAGTGAAAATCTTCGGGGGCAACAGATCTTCGAAAAGCAGATCTGTTTCCCTGGTGGGGTAACAAACCTTGGGTAACAAACCTTGGGTCTCTTGAAAATACATCAGGATCCATTCTAACGTCCAAGGCCACACCCCAGACAGTAGGAAATATCAAAATCATCGAGTGTGGAGCAAGCAATCACAGATACTGATAGCAATACAAAGTCTAGACATGCGCACTACAAACATTTTCATCGCTTTAATTTTGATTGTTTAACAAAGGTAAAGAAGGGATATGTCTATCCCGTGGTTCATTCATTGCGAAACGCGTAGAGGTCATGCAATCCCAGGGTAAACCAGGCATCAGCTGATAACACATGCCACCTGTAATCTTCGAATGACACACTCCACAAACGCCCCCGCAGGGGTTGTAACGGACTCGCTCTCTCTTCGACGCTAAAATGAAGCAAACTAAGCCCAATAAAGGAGAAGGCCAAAAGCACGGATGGTGTAATGCGGTTGCCAAAGCAGACAGAGAGGTAGATGAAGAATCCAACATCTNATAAAACGATGTGATTTCAGCAAAATCTGCAGTCTTTCGTGAAAAGGGGGTTGTCAACTGAACAAAACAAAACGTCCACACAATGCATATTAAAGATTATGACTCTTCCTGAAGCACAGTCAAAACGATTGAAAATGCTAACTTTCGTGTATTATTACGCCACTTAAAAAGACCAAATATTGAAGGCTAGAAATAAAAAAGCGAGGTTAAAAGCTGTCCCATACTGCTCACGACCCGTGTATAGCCGACTTAGAGATCTAGTAACACCTGACGTTCCCTTCAAGTGAAAATCTTCGGGGGCAACAGATCTTCGAAAAGCAGATCTGTTTCCCTGGTGGGGTAACAAACCTTGGGTAACAAACCTTGGGTCTCTTGAAAATACATCAGGATCCATTCTAACGTCCAAGGCCACACCCCAGACAGTAGGAAATATCAAAATCATCGAGTGTGGAGCAAGCAATCACAGATACTGATAGCAATACAAAGTCTAGACATGCGCACTACAAACATTTTCATCGCTTTAATTTTGATTGTTTAACAAAGGTAAAGAAGGGATATGTCTATCCCGTGGTTCATTCATTGCGAAACGCGTAGAGGTCATGCAATCCCAGGGTAAACCA